TATTGTTTCCTAGACTTGCTGTATACGTTGTTGTTTCCTTAGACTGTTGTTGTATACTTGTTGTTTCCTCTCCGTCTTAACTGCTGGCAGTAATATGATCTGTTGCTTCCTAGGCTGTTGCTGTATACGTTGTTGTTTCCTAGGCTGTTGCTGTATACGTTGTTGTTTCCTAGACTGTTGCTGTATACGTTGTTGCTTCCTAGACTGTTGCTGTATACGTGGTTGTTTCCTAGGCTGTTGCTGTATACGTTGTTGTTTTCCTAGGCTGTTGCTGTATACGTTGTTGTTTCCTAGACTGTTGCTGTATACGTTGTTGTTTCCTAGACTGTTGCTGTATACGTTGTTGTTTCCTAGACTGTTGCTGTATACGTTGTTGCTTCCTAGACTGTTGCTGTATACGTTGTTGTTCCTAGACTGTTGCTGTATACGTTGTTGTTTCCTAGACTGTTGCTGTATACGTTGTTGTTTCCTAGACTGTTGCTGTATACGTTGTTGTTTCCTAGACTGTAGCTGTATACGTTGATGGTTCCTAGACTGTTGCTGTATACGTTGTTGTTTCCTAGACTGTTGCTGTATACGTTGTTGTTTCCTAGGCTGTTGCTGTATACGTTGTTGTTTCCTAGACTGTTGCTGTATACGTTGTTGTTTCCTAGACTGTTGCTGTATACGTAGTTGCTTTCCTAGACTGTTGCTGTATACGTTGTTGTTTCCTAGGCTGTTGCTGTATACGTTGTTGCTTCCTAGGCTGTTGCTGTATACGTTGTTGTTTCCTAGCCTGTTGCTGTATACGTTGTTGGTTCCTAGTCTGTTGCTGTATTCGTTGTTGTTTCCTAGACTGTTGCTGTATACGTTGTTGTTTCCTAGACTGTTGCTGTATACGTTGTTGTTTCCTAGACTGTTGCTGTATACGTTGTTGTTTCCTAGCTGTTGCTGTATACGTTGTTGTTTCCTAGACTGTTGCTGTATACGTTGTTGTTTCCTAGACTGTTGCTGTATACGTTGTTGTTCCTAGACTGTTGCTGTATACGTTGTTGCTTCCTAGGCTGTTGCTGTATACGTTGTTGTTTCCTAGACTGTTGCTGTATACGTTGTTGTTTCCTAGGCTGTTGCTGTATACGTTGTTGTGTCCTAGAGCTGTTGCTGTATACGTTGTTGTTTCCTAGACTGTTGCTGTATACGTTGTTGTTTCCTAGACTGTTGCTGTATACGTTGTTGTTTCCTAGACTGTTGCTGTATACGTTGTTGTTTCCTAGACTGTTGCTGTATACGTTGTTGTTTCCTAGACTGTTGCTGTATACGTTGTTGTTTCCTAGACTGTTGCTGTATACGTTGTTGAAGGCTGTTGCCTAATGCTTGCTTGTCCGTGCTCCTAGGCTGTTGCGACGTTACTTGTTGTTTCCTAGACTGTTGCTGTATACGTTGTTGTGTCCTCTGTTGCTGTAGACTGTTGCTGTATACGTTGTTGTTTCCTGACTTTCCCTTAGACTGTTGCTGTATACGTTGTTGCTTCCTAGGCTGTTGCTGTATACGTTGTTGCTTCCTAGGCTGTTGCTGTATACGTTGTTGCTTCCTAGGCTGTTGCTGTATACGCTGTTGTTTCCTAGACTGTTGTGTATACATTTATTATTTCCTTGTTTCCTGTATACGTGTTGCTGTATACGTTGTTGCCTTAGTGTTGCTAGGCCTTAGTTTGCTGTATACGTTGTTGCTTCCTAGGCTGTTGCTGTATACGTTGTTGTTTCCTAGCTGTTGCTGTATACGTTGTTGTTTCCTCAGACTGTTGCTGTATACGTTGTTGTTTCCTTATACTGTCTTTTCCTAGACTGTTGCTGTGTTTCCTAACTTGTTGCTGTATACGTTGTTGTTTCCTAGACTGTTGCTGTATACGTTGTTGCTTCCTAGACTGTTGCTGTATACGTTGTTGTTTCCTAGGCTGTTGCTGTATACGTTGTTGTTTCCTAGGCTGTTGCTGTATACGTTGTTGTTTCCTAGACTGTTGCTGTATACGTTGTTGTTTTGTTTCCTAGGCTGTTGCTGTATACGTTGTTGTTTCCTACTGTTGCTGTATACGTTGTTGTTTCCTAGTTGCTGTTGCTGTGTTGCTGTATACGTTGTTGTGTCCTAGGCTGTTGCTGTATACGTTGTTGCGTCCTAAGCTGTTGCTGTATACGTTGTTGTTTCCTAGGCTGTTGCTGTATACGTTGTTGTGTCCTAGGCTGTTGCTGTATACGTTGTTGCGTCCTAAGCTGTTGCTGTATACGTTGTTGTTTCCTAGACTGTTGCTGTATACGTTGTTGTGTCCTAGGCTGTTGCTGTATACGTTGTTGCTTCCTAGGCTGTTGCTGTATACGTTGTTGTGTCCTAGACTGTTGCTGTATACGTTGTTGTTTCCTAGACTGTTGCTGTATACGTTGTTGTGTCCTAAGCTGTTGCTGTATACGTTGTTGTTTCCTAGACTGTTGCTGTATACGTTGTTGTTTCCTAGACTGTTGCTGTATACGTTGTTGTTTCCTAGACTGTTGCTGTATACGTTGTTGTGTCCTAGGCTGTTGCTGTATACGTTGTTGCTTCCTAGGCTGTTGCTGTATACGTTGTTGTGTCCTAGACTGTTGCTGTATACGTTGTTGTTTCCTAGACTGTTGCTGTATACGATGTTGTTTCCTAGACTGTTGCTGTATACGTTGTTGTTTCCTAGACTGTTGCTGTATACGTTGTTGTTTCCTAGGTTGTTGCTGTATACGTTGTTGTTTCCTAGACTGTTGCTGTATACGTTGTTGTTTCCTAGACTGTTGCTGTATACGTTGTTGCTTCCTAGGTTGTTGCTGTATACGTTGTTGTTTCCTAGACTGTTGCTGTATACGTTATTGTTTCCTAGACTGTTGCTGTATACGTTGTTGCTTCCTAGACTGTTGCTGTATACGTTGTTGTTTCCTAGGCTGTTGCTGTATACGTTGTTGTTTCCAAGACTGTTGCTGTATACGCTTGTTGTTTCCTTGGCTGTTGCTGTATACGTTGTTGTTTCCTAGACTGTTGCTGTATACGTTGTTGTTTCCTAGTCTGTTGCTGTATACGTTGTTGTTTCCTAGACTGTTGCTGTATACGTTGTTGTTTCCTAGGCTGTTGCTGTATACGTTGTTGTTTCCTAGACTGTTGCTGTATACGTTGTTGTTTCCTAGACTGTTGCTGTATACGTTGTTGTTTCCTAGGTTCTTGCTGTATACGTTGTTGTTTCCTAGACTGTTGCTGTCTACGTTGTTGTTTCCTAGACTGTTGCTGTATACGTTGTTGTTTCCTAAACTGTTGCTGTATACGTTGTTGTTTCCTAGGCTGTTGCTGTATATGTTGTTGCTGTATACGTTGTTGCTGGTTGTGAGGGCATAATCTTTGCATAAGAAAACATTTTTTTTTATTATTTCAAACGAATATCCAGCTGCAAAGAAGAATCTAGTGCTTTCTTTTTGGTGTTTATGCATATTTACCAATAGGGTTCCAGTATTCCTTGCTTTGTTCTATGAAATCCTGTCCAAAATGCACGATATTTAGCGACCAGTCAAATCTGTATAATGACCATTATTGTCAGTCTTCAAAGTACCACACTGTCTGACAGCCTCAGTCCAGGTCACTTCTGCAGTTGATACTCGACCATCTAAAATAAAATCGCGATAGAGAATTCAGTTCAAATTTTAAAGCAAAAAAGTCCATGTTACATGATAAGTTCGTGATAAGCCCTTTGGTTTTTACAGTTTAAGCTAGTAAGAAAATACTTTTAATTGTGTAAGAAAAACTTATTTCAATTTACATTCATTTTATATGATAATAAATAATATATATATGGACATTACGTTTACCTACCTGCACATATATACCCAACTCTGTTCTGACAGGATGTAAACTGATGATGTACCGGAAGTGATCCTAGATATCTCACGGCAGCACAATTACCGTAATCAGGGGCTGAAAAACGGAAATAAGAATGTTTTGATCAATTTCTTTTACTAACCTAGTTTTACACCATTTAATCTAGTCTTTATGGACAATTTATTTAGTTTATCTTCAAGTCAATTATTAATTCTTATGACACCAATTAAGCAAAATATTACTTCAAATAAAAGTCAATAAAATTAGTACGTAATAGATTTTTTATCTTTTGCGGAATCTATCAATATATCTTATATCATAGGCGTCGAAACCGGAGGGGGGTTGGGGTTGGGGGACTTACCCCCCCCCACTTTTTTTGCAAAGATATATTTAATATAAGCATTGAAAATTGGGGTTTGCCTTTCTTTGGTGGTTTATCCCCCCTTTCAATTTGCTTCCGGACTTATGTCCTATCATTGAATGAATCATTAGATGATAACTGAAAATGTCCTTCTAACTTAAGTTTTACCGTGTGTGAAAGGACTGTGTATGATATATTGGTACACCACCACACTCCCGTCATTGGGTGCTCCAAACAGTTCATTGGGATACTCGGGTAAAGCCTCGTAAACACAATCTTCATTTCTCTTGCGGTATTTTTCTACATCGGTATAACAGTAACATGTTTTTCTCTATAATAAAGAAGAATTTCATTGCTGTACACAGGACCACACAGGATTCGGCTTCTAAATCTGCACCTTTAGTTGAACAGACGGAAAGCACAGAATTACATTGTTCTGGCACATATTTATACAAGGGAAGACGGAAGAAGGAAAAGAAAGAAGAAAACAGTTTGGGTATAATGAGTTAAAACTGGTATAACCTTGCTCCTTGCATCAGGGGACAATAACAACTCATTTAAGTATAATTTTAGAGTTTTTCAGTGACACTTTCTCTAAGTACCCATTAGATTTGTAATGTAGTCATTCAAAAATTAACCGAAAGAGTACGTTTCTACCCATCAACCCCAATGAATGGAAAACTATTGCCGATGGACCTTCGTCAAGATGGCAGTCAACCATATGCATTGTATCGATGCGCTTTAATTGATGACAAACATGAAGGAGTTTCTATGAAACTATTAGGAAGGATTCCAAGCAAAACATTCAATCCCAGATAATGAAAACAAAAAGGACTCCCTTTGTACTTTCAAATGACCCTTTTACCTTGAAGATCTGGTTCGTGAAACAATTTTCAGAGGTTCAGATTTTTAGAGGAAGAGAAAATTGACTACCACTGTTTGGGTTCTATTGTACTGGCCTGTATCTGCTTAGACATTCAGAAGAACCATATCGAAGATCATATCCTTATTACTTACAAACAAGTTTATGAAAAAAGAATATCACAACAGTCTTGTTTAAAGTCATCAGTTTGTAAGTTCTGTTGTCAAAACAATGACTTTGTCCAAAAATTCAATGAAATAATTAAATGCTTTCTTAGTTTATTATTACTGGAATTAACGGAAGCAGCTGTTGCAGAAAAAATACATAACCTGCGTAACTGTTAATTCAAGTAATAACAAACAAAGAAAGACATTTTATTGTTTATATTCTTATCTGTTTAAAAAATCATTTAAAGTAGGATTAAAAAAATAATGATTGTATTAATGGTGCGAAGGTCTTCATACGTTTCATTGATTGAAAAGCCACTGATCAAGAAATCTGCACAGGCGACATGCCGACTGTAGTTTTCTTAAAAAATGAAGGAGAAAATATTCAGAGGATGTAAATATTCTATCATTAAGACAAAAGCTGACTGACATTTTATACTAATTGTAAGACCATTATTTATACATCCAAATGTCCACGGCTTTTTCTGCTATTTCCTGATTCAATCAAGGAGCACACTGAGTGTGTAACTAGTCGGGTGGGGGCTGCTCACCCCACCTTGGCACCTGATCCCATCACTAATATTTTAGAGGTCCGTGTTTGCTCTGCTCCTGGTTTTTATGTTTGAATCGACTTTTGAGATTGAAAACTGTTCATTATCTTCATATCTTTCATCCGTCACATCATTTCTAGATTCTTGAGAGATTACCAAATTTTGGTTTAGGCAAATGATACTTCGTAGTGGTAACCGCCTTCCGCTAGCCAGTTAAATCTAAACCGAGTACCTGTATATAGGACCCTAGCTACTACACTCGATTACAGGAAGAGTGTCTTGGCAACTTAACTTAATCTGAATAAATTACAGAAATTTTGAATGAACCACATTGTAAATAAATGATTATTTTTATTGTAAAAATGAATGAACTAAAATGTTAATATTGAATATATCTAGAAATATTGAATAAATTTCCATAGCTTTTAACACATCTGCATGTATTTCTCATATATAACATTTATCTGAAAATAAGTCAACTTTTCTAAGGATTTAAAAAAATAACGACCGAGCCAATTGTATTTAAGAAAAGAAATGAAAAAGTAAGATTTGTTTTCTCAATGATTCCTCTTAATATCAGTATTTTTGAAAAATGTTTTGCTGATGTCCATGTACAGAGAACCTTAATTATGATAACATTTTCCCCAATGTCATTTACATGCTTAGACGTAAGACATCTTAAAAAATCTTCAACATTCGTGGCATTCTCGTACGCCGTGGGGCGCTGACGCAATAACTTGATTGGCCGTAATCACTAATGAGACCGTCGCATTATGAGGTACATGTATCAATACGGATACCATGGTTGTCCGTAACAGTGTCCGTGGCGTGAAATGCATGGTCCTTAATGAAACCGTGTCCAAACCTTGTTAAACCTTGTTGAACCGATCTATAATCTTGAAACAACCGTTTCGTTTGTTTTTCGCGACAAAAAATCGTATTAGCATTACGATTTCATACGATTTATAAAATCCTGGTGAACCGTTGCAACCCATGTCTATTATACCGTGACACTGTGACCTAGGCTTTTGATACATTTATCTGCACCAAGATTAGAAAAAGAAATATCAGCATATAGCTAGGAGTATAGCAGAATCATAATTAAATGATGTCATAAATAGATCTACAAGTGTAGTCATCAAGAAAATAATGAGAAGATAACTTGTTGGTGAGACTGATTGATTGTATGTTGTTTCACGTCCTATTCGAGAATATTTCACTTAGATAGAGACATACGTTTGTATTCATGTCGAGGGTTTGAAATTCTGATCTTCACTCGACACTCAGGGCCATTTTATAGTGTAGAGGGACCTTTATCATACCACAGCCTACCATGACAAGGGTCCTCGGTTTATAAGGTTTCAATCCCCTGAAGACCTGCAACTTTCACTTCAAAGTGTTGAGCACATTGTGAAGAAACTGATGCTACCCAATTTGTCATCGACGAAGGTCAAAGTCGCGGCTGAGTTTCGATCTCACGACCTTCGGATCACGTAGCTACTATGAACGGTCTCGTGAAGTCGTAAGAATTCTCTCGGTAGGGTTAGGGCAAAAATAAATCTTGAAGCTAAGAAAAAGTTTCCTTATTTGTAGAGGAATGTTTTGTTATAACTGAATTTTCTTTCGTAAGAATGGAGATATTTTTCGCTTAAAGATTATGAACTTTTTTTTATAATAAAGAGCTAATCTTGTGTTTATCAGACGCTGTGTCATTTAAACGATAATTTTTTCGTAATGACGAGATCTCTTTTCAAAGCTTAGAGCGTTTGCTTATGAGTTACGGAGCAAGAAGTTAATCCTCACTCTCTTGGGTTTGAATCATACTATGGGACGTGTAGACTGGTCCTTAGATTGCGATCCAGCTAATCAAAGGCATTAAGTGAGGAGTACAGGTTAAACATTGGCATTAAGTGAGGAGTACAGGTCTAAACATTGGCATTAAGTGAGGAGTAACAGGTTAAATTGCATTAGTTAGGAGTACAGGTCTAAACATTGGCATTAAGTGAGGAGTACAGGTTGGAAACATTGGCAAGTGGTGACGAATGAGGTGTAAAAATTTCTCAAAAGGACATTAACCGAAACAAACAAACAAGATGCTTTTGTGAAACACTCATGCCCCCGTATGGCACCATGGCGAAGACAAACTTCTCTTAAATGAAAACTCACTGGAAGTACAAATCTCAAATATAAAAATATTCCAAAATCCAGCTAATCAAAGGCATTAAAGATTGGCAAGTGGTGACGAATCAGGCGTGAACGTTCCTCGAAAGGACATTAACAAACAAACAAACAAGGTATTTTTGTGAAACGCTGATGCCCCCGTATGGGAACATAGCAAAGATTAAGTTTCTGCAAATGCAAACTCACTGGAAATACAATTCTGATACATGTATATGACAGGTACCAAAGTAAAGCTTTTTATAAGTGTGCTAAAATCTCCAAGGTCAAGGTAAATAAAACCAACATTACTTTGTATCCAATAAAAGGTCTTGCCACAAAAAAAATATATGTGAAGTATGGAATACCTGGCTCTAACCCTTTAGAAGTTAAGGCGAATTTTATATTTCAAAAAGAAGGTCAAACTCCAAAGTCAAAGTCCTTCTATCAAATCTTGTCACAAGGATTAAAATATATAAAGTATGAAAGCACTAGCCTTAACACTTTAAATGTCATGGTAAAAGGTTTGCTTTTTAAGAGATCAAAGGTCATGGTCAAATGCTCCATGGTCAAAGGGTCAAAGTTCTTGATAGTCATTGAAAAGCCTTTTCACAAGGATAACATATGCTGAGAATGAGGACATTAGCTTTTACCTATCAAAAGTTATTGCAAGGTTCTTAAGTTTTCCAAGTTCAAGTCTTCAAGTTATATTTAATACAATTTGTAATCCAATTAAAGGCATTGTATGAAGAATACAAATGTCAATAATGGATGCCCCAGCTCAACCCTCCAAAAGTTAGTTATGACCAAGATTAACAATTTTAAAAAGTAGGTCAAAATCCAAGGACAATATCAAAGGGTCAAAGTCTTGCTATCAAATGAGAGGTCTTGTCACAAGGATTAGATATGTAAAGTATGAAAACACTAGCCCTAACCCTTTTCAAGTTCTGGTTAAGGTTTCCTTTTTCATAATAGGTCAATTTCAAAGGTCAACGGGTTAAAGTTCTTGATATCAAATCAAAGCCTTTTCACAAATACATAAGATTTGTGAAGTGTGAGATTATTAGCCCTTAGCATTCATAAATTTTGGACAAGGTTTACGTTTTTTCATAAGAACAAAAATTCAAGGTCAAAAGGTCATATTTTAAGGTATCCAATTAGAGGTCTTGCCACAAAAATACTTATGTTAATTATGGAAATGTAGTTCTAACTCTTAAAATTTATATCCAAGTTAAAAAAGTAGCTATAGGTCAATGTCAAAAAGTGTCAAAGATCTTGCTTACAAATGAAAGTTTTGATCAAAAGGATTAAATATATAAAGTATGAAAGCACTAGCCATAACCCTTTAAATAATTATGGTTTGTTTTTCAAAAATAGGTTAAACTGTAACATCAAGATGAAAGGGTCAAAAGTTCTTAATATCCAGTGAAGGGTTGTCTCACAAACATAACATATGTGAAATATGAAAGCCCTATCCCTTAACTTTAAAAATTATGGCCAAGTCTTTATACCACGGTAATTACAGAAATCTCCAAGGTAAAAGGTAAGGTTTTTGGTATCCAATGAAAGGTCTCTTTCCCCAAAAATAACTATGTGAAGTGTCCATGTCCCTGTATATACCTTTTTAAGATATGGCCAAAGAAAAGTATAAAATTTTGTAAAAGTTGTTCAAGCTCAAAAGGTCAAATTTGGTGGAACCCAGATCAAGGTCTTGTATCAAGGAATAACATATGTGAAGCATGAAAGTTATAGCTCCATAAATCAAAAGTTCTGAGCAAGGTGCAAACAACAAACAGACATACAGAGAGACAGACGGACACGCACAAAAACTATATACCCCGTAAACTTCGTTTACAAGGGCATAAAAAGCAAGTTGTATTTTCTAATTGAAAAATCATTTTTTTAGGATAAAAAGATCACTTCTGGTTATTGTAAAATCATTTCTTGTTAAATTAAAATGTGAAAGTATTGCATTTTTTGGTCTTCTTCTTTTTGTGGAGGCTCCTTCAGATGAGACCTTAAAAACCGCGGCCCCGATAAAGATCTCTCACCGCTCAATGGCCCTGAGTGCCGAGTAAAGGCTACAATTTGAAGCCGAATCTGGAGATACGGTGACGTCTTCATATGAGTGAAAGATTAAACAGAACAAGTTAGAACACATTAAACAATATACAATCAGTATTAATTTTTTTTGTGGTTTTTATAAAGATTTAGAGAGATAAAGAAAGAAGCAGTTAATGAATCAGCCGAAAATGTAAAATAATTACCGATATGCCCATTGCCTCAAATCCATAAAATTCACCGCAGTAAATAGTGCAGCTAGATGTGCTTTTTGGAATGTGATAAACATCAAAATCAATATTTTCGGTTGCATCATAGGTCTCAAAGCAGCCTTCAATAAAAACATTCATAAACACTCTATGAGACCTTTTTGAGTTTTATATGTAAAAGCATATTTTTAATTGAATTGTAAGGTAAATGCTATACAGAGGAGCAAAACGGATTCTAAATATAGATTTAATCTTTTGCTAATATTAACATGCATTGAGACGTTTTTACTAAAAAAAAATAATACAGTATCACAAGTTTAATCAGCAAAATTGTTTTTACTTTCATTTAATTTTTTTCAGACATTTGTGTAAGTTTTGAAGATCATTTTAATAGAAATATATGTTTTAAGCAGATTTTTTTAAGTTAAGATTTTTTTAAAGGAGGAGCAGCCAATACCATTAAGGAAGGTAAAACACTTCTAACAGGTGTCTTAATTTTTACTTAATTTGATACAAACTACTACCTAATAGTTTAAACCATGGCGATTGAAAAACTGTTGCTCCTATCCAGAAAAACTGATCCTGACGGAAACCAGAGGGCCGGGCAGGGACCCTGAATCCTTTTGTGCTGACAATTCTTCTCTCTCAGACTCCTAGTCACTGACAGTTTAGAGAAGACTCCTCCCAGTTCCTGTTTGTTACGTCATAGTAGACACCTAATAAAATGTAACAAGGTAGACACCTAATACAATGTAACCAATAAACGTCTTATAAAAAATCATGTAACCAATAAACATTTTATAAAAGTCATGTCATCACAATTCTTTTCGAAAATCTCGAATATCCTTTTAATTCGAGAAAATTTCAATCCGAAATATTTTCAAAGAAAGACATTAGCAGATTTTAAGTTCTTTTTATTCGTTTAGTGTCACTAGACTTCTACATAATCATTTTTACTTATACATGAATTTACGTTGCATATTCAGTTTGAAAAGGATGACCATATGCTAAATCATCATATTTTTGACCGTAATTTACGGTAATTCAAACATCCAGTGTAATATTTTTTAAATAAACTTGTTTTATAAAACTTACCTCTGTCGTCAGACCGAACAACTGAGAGCCAAAAAACTGAGAGCAAAATACCAAGCGAAAAGGACATTATAGAATTGTTTGAAAAACCTGCAAATTAGACACACTACCCTAACAAAAATACTATAGTTAACTATAGTGATAACTTTGACACTTTGAAAACTTTGATTTACTATAGTGATAACTTTGACACTTTGAAAAACTTTGATTAACTATAGTGATAACTTTGACACTTTGAAAAACTTTGACGAAAACTTTGACACTTTGAAAAACTTTGACGAAAACTTTGACACTTTGAAAAACTTTGACAAAAACTTTGACACTTTGAAAAACTTTGGCAAAAACTTTGACACTTTGAAAAACTTTGGCGAAAACTTTGACACTTTGAAAAACTTTGGCGAAAACTTTGACACTTTGAAAAACTTTGCCGAAAACTTTGACACTTTGAAAAACTTTGCCGAAAACTTTGACACTTTGAAAAACTTTGACGAAAACTTTGATACTTTGAAAAACTTTGACGAAAACTTTGACACTTTGAAAAACTTTGACGAAAACTTTGGCGAAAACTTTGACACTTTGAAAAACTTTGATGAAAACTTTGATACTTTGAAAAACTTTGGGCGAAAACTTTGACACTTTGAAAAACTTTATCGAAAACTTTGATACTTCAAAAAACTTTATCAAAAACTTTGATACTTCGAAAATCTTTATTGAAATTTTTGATACTTCGAAAAACTTAATCGAAAACTTTGATACTTCGAAAAACTTTATCAAAAACTTGGATGCTTTAAAACTTTGAAAAAGATTATTGAAAACTTTGACACTTTAAAAAACTTTATCAAAAATTTTTATTCTTCGAGAAACTTTATCAAAAACTTTTACTTTTTTAAAAACATTATCGAAGTCTCCGATACTTTGTAAAACTTAATAAAAAACTTGGATATTTTGAAAAACTTCATCAAGAAATTTAACACTTTGAAAATATTTGTCGAAAACTTGGATACTTTTACACTTCGAAAAACTTTATCGAAAACTTTGACATTTGAAAAACTTTATCAAAAACTTAAAAAACTTTTTCAAAAATTTTAAAATTAAAAATGCTTTATCGAAAACTTGGATACTTTACTACATACAAAAACTTAATCGCAAACTTTGACACTTTAAAAACTTTATCAAAAACTTTAAAAATTTTAAAAAAAGTTATGAAAACTTGGGATGCTTTGAAAAACTTTATCAAAAGTTTGATACTTTGAAAAACTTTATCGAAAATTCTGATTTTTTTGAAGAACTTTGGTGAAAACTTTGACACTTTGAAAAACTTTGAAGAAAACTTTGATACTTTGAAAAACTTTGGCGAAAACTTTGACACTTTGAAAACTTTGACGAAAACTTTGACACTTTGATTTACTATAGTTAACTATAGTAAACTATAGTTAACTATAGTTAACTATAGTATTTTTTTGTTAGGGAGTTTTTGGGAGAGCGGGGTACCTAAGTGTTGTGTCCGTATTTGTTATAAACTGAAAAGAAGCAGAAACCTGCAGCCTTGTGACCTTTTGAACTCTAAACTTTTGGGTTCATCACATCCTGTTGTCATTCTGATTGGGGAAAGGGTTTTTAAAACCCCCGGAAAATTTAGATAAGAAAATTATTGGCGTATTTGAGCTGAAAAAAATAAAAAAAATAGAGCGCAGATTGATTTTTATAATTGGAATTTGGTGATAGATATAACAAGAATAAGGAACCTGTAGACTGGTTATGTCATTTTTTTAACTTTGTGTACGCCACATCCATGTCTGTTATTCTGGCATTTAATTATTTAAAGAATTTGTATATCAACAGGATATCTGACGGATATATAGTATATCGAACTATAAGTTGCGTTTTTGTTCATTTTTATGAAGAGAGAAGTAGGAAAACACTTGCTGTAGTTCTTAGACATTCAGAAATATTGATGACGTTTTATCAATTAACAATAGTTTTTCATTCTCTTGCCGACTCAATACATCCTTGTGAATTAAGGAAATTACTGTCTTATTTTTCGATTTTATGATGTGAAAAACGATTGATTTGCGTGATGATTTGAATCACAGGCGTTTATGCACAAAAATTTTCCGCAAGCCAATCGATTGATAATGTATGAAAAGAAAATCTGCAGTTATTCCTTCTTTTACATGCTTTGATTCCGCAAATTCATGCTCCAAGCCCTGCTTCTGTCTAGCTGTTTGTCCCGCCCTGCGCGTGGTGTTTTTTTAACCGCGCAAATACGTTGATGGGGAAAAAAAACATTTGCATTTTGTAATTTTATTCACACAGAAATTGGAAATGTAAATGTCTTGAAATAAAAGACAACACAGTTGCCAGATCAGTTTCTACTGGGATGTTTAACTAATGATAGACAACAGAGGACAAACAAAATTTTATGACAGACCGATGATAACCTTTTTTTTAACTTCCGTATTTGTGTAGAACATTGTAATATTCCTCTATATTTGTAATATTCCGCTATCATTGTAATATTCCGCTATCGTTGTAATATTCCACTATCATTGTAATATCCCGCTATCATTGTAATATTCCACTATCATTGTAATATTCCGCTATCATTGTAATATTCCATTATCATTGTAATATTCTACTATCATTGTAATATTCCGCTATCATTGTAATATTCTGCTATCATTGTAATATTCCGCTATTATTGTAATATCTCGCTATCAATGTAATATTCCGCTATCATTGTAATATTCCGCTTTCATTGTACTACCGTATAAGTGGAAATTTTAGCGAGACGAAAATTTAGCGATTTTTCCTTAAAAACTGGTAATTAATTTTTAGCGAGATGTTATTTTAGCGATTTAAAAATGCACATTAAAGAAACTATTACATATAAAACGCAATTAATTTTTAGCAATACCCAATTTTAGCGATCTCGACACACTCGCTAATAATGCCAAAATTAAATCCTCGCAAAAAATTGTACTTATACGATATTTTGCTATCATTGTAATATTCCGCTATCATTGTAACTTTAATTGTAATATTCCGCTATCATTGTAGTATTCCGCCATCATTGTAATTTTCCGCTATCATTGTAATATTCCGCTATCACCTGCATGTGGTGTTTGAATCTTCCAACTTATTCAATACTCGAGAGTATTCTCTGAGTCCGATTATTTCAAACTGAAGTACACAACTCACGTGTAAGTCTATTTTTCATCTTGTTTAAAGTAAGCAATTCGTAAACTTTATACTCGTCATGACAATCTTAAAAGCAAATATAATCTACTAAGAGGTCCAATAAAAATGAATTCACACCCTAGGGAAGGGCTATCAATGGTATATTGTTTCCATGTTAAAATTTGTTCAGCAGGTTTTCTGCGTGGGAAGTCCTTATATCTGTCAACGAGTTTATATTATTCTGTCCGATATCGCTACTGAAAGTAAGCATGAAGTTATGAAAGAATTTTGGAAGAGAGGAATGTTTACAGAGCTTGGCTGTCCTCGGTTTTTGCTAGATATCAGTCAATGTGAGATCATTTTCTAAAATATCCAGAAAACAATCAAAGGAAGACTCTGAGGTACGTGTATCAAAATATGTCATTAAGAGTGTTATTTATCCGTGATCATCCCTGATAAAGCGTATAACAATGTCTTAAAATCATGGGAACAAAAAGACTTTAGGATAAATAACACAAACAAACTGTTTTCAGGAACCAGTATATTTCTCATAGAATTACATTTAAATTGGTTAACTGAATAATGTTTACTGAGTTTATTGGGAGCATTTTGTACGATTTTGTCATAAGGTTCAAATTTGTGCAAATTACATGGTAACGAAATGGAATTACATGGAAATTAAATAGAATTATATAGAAAGCAAAGCAAAGTCTCATAACTTAGCACCAAGGAAAGCCTACGATTTCTTTATATTTCAGGGGTTTACTATTTATGTAATTTCATATCAAAATCAGTCAAAAATATTTATCAATCCATGCATCAAATTCTTGTTTGTGTTAAGTACCCTTAAAAGACACACAGTTCTGTGCACTTTTTAAACTCACATGGTTTTTTTTGCACGAATTAATGTCACTGATATATTATGCAAATTCTTTAAGGAGACAACAAAAAATATAATAAAAGTGATTTCCTAATTAATTTCAAGTTTATTTCACTAACTCAAGATATAATATACCTCTGATAAAAGAGAAAACTTTCTGAAGACATTTTCCCATGAAATTCAGTCAATTGTCACTTCAGAATTTACATAGTTAATTACTATGGACCGTATAATAGTCAACTACATCAAATCCGTTCTTTAGAACTGATTATTTCTAGTTAAGGTCTTCCGTTTCCAACGGAAGACCTTCTACTGATTCTGATGATTAAGATTATTCTTATTATTAAGGTCTTCCGTCTTCAGCGGAAGACCTTACTGTTATTCTTAGGTTTCTTTTCCACTATTTTTATTATTATTATTAGGGTCTTCCGTCTCCAACGGAAGACCCTTCTATTATTCTATTGTTTCTTTTTCACTTTTATTATTCTTCCTTTTTTTCTTACAATTTTTGTGCAGACGATTTCTCGGAGATGGCTTAATCGATTTACTTGAAATTTTCAAGAAAGATGTGCCTTCACCTAAA